ACCTGTCTGCTTTTCCTCATCTGCAGACAGGGAAGGGGAGCAGCAATGAGAATTAAGTGGGATGCTGGCGAAGCTCCCAGCTTCACCAGACGCCTCAGTGGTTCGTTCATTTCCTTTCTTGGCAACTTGACCTTCTCCTCTCTAGAGCCTCAACTTCAATGAACTCTGCTCTGAAGGCCTCATTTCTGCCCCCACATCTTGTACACTAGGCACACAAAGGTGCATTCCCACCCCGCACAACTTTTCTCTGCCCCTAACCCCCACTCTGACCTCTGTGTCCCGGTCTCCATCCCCACCACGTCCCTATGGCCGACTGTGCGGTCCCACAGGTGTGGGGGGCATGGGTTTCCACAGACCCAGAAGGGTCAGGAGCTGAGGCTGGGACTGACTAGGCACATGGATCTTGAGCCGTTTATGTCACCTCTGAGTCTCAGTCCCAGATCTGTGGAGAGGGATGAGGATCCTCCCCCTTGGGGCTGTGGGAGGCTCAGAGCAGCCACAGGTGAAGTAGCACAGGGCCCAGCACACAGCAGGGATTCAGGTCAGCCTCTTTCTCTCTTCTCTTCCCCCCGGACATCCACTGAGGTCAGCGTTTCCTACCCCTCCTGGGCAGGCACCCAGCTTTGCCTGCAGCCCCTGTACTGTCCCCACACCTGCACAGATGAAACACCAGGTGCCTGCCCTCTGCCTGCCGGCCCCCTACAGTCGATGGACCACACAGTCCAGCAGGGTGGGCACTGGCCCTTTCTCCTGTGGTTCCCAGGTGTGTAAAGATTTGTGGAAGGAAAGAAAGGAAAGACAAAGGGAAAAAGAGGGAGGAAGGGAGGCAAGAAGGAGGGAGAGAGCCCCTGAGCCTTCACCCAACTCCTCCCCCACAGCCATCTGCTGGGTTCTACCCCAGGTCCAAGGTGCACGGGAGAGGGGAGGGACCCCCAGGAGACAGCTAGACCCCATGCTGAGGGGGTGTGTATGAGGTGAGGTAGAGGCTCACCCATGGGTGCCCCCACCATACCTCAGTCTCCCTCCATGCCCCCAAGTCACTGCCCACCAGCTCCCTTGAGGATGGGGGAGAGAGGTTGGCCCACAGAGACAAGGGCTCTGGGAGAGGGTCCCCTGCCATGAGCAGCCAGTGGCAGAGGGCAGGAAGGGCTTCTTGCATTCCAGGACTTGGCTCAAGCCTGAGGCAGGTATTCTTAGCTCCATTGCTCCTTCAGGGAAACTGAGGCTTATACAAATGGTCACTGGCCTGGGCCCTGGGACAGGGATGAGTGGTAGCCCAAGCCTCATGCCTGCTCCGCCTGCTCCTGGCAAGGAGAACAGCAGGAGCTGAGGAAGGAGGGGCTGGAGAGCGTGGCGAGCGGGCGCTGGGCATGCAGAGAGCAAGCAGGCAGGAGCAGACCTGGAGCAGACCCTCTGCAGCTTCCTGGAGGGGAAAGAGGGGGCTGGGGGCTGAGGGCGGTGGGAGGCGGCCGGGCCCCAGCCCCAACATACCAGTGCAGACCAGCCCGGCATCCTCACTGTGGTCACAGTTGCTCCGGCCCCAGGGGCTCCGGGGGCAGTCTCGGAGGGCCTGCTCTCCTCCTCCACACCCCACGTCGTCCATCCACACGGGCCCTGCGCCAGGCCCAAATCTGGCACCGCCAGGGGCAGCCAGCGCCCCCCCACAGCCCAGCTCCCGGCAGGCCACAGTGGCGTCGCGCAGGTCCCAGCCGTCATCACATACGGTGCCCCAGCGCCCGCCATGCCAGACTTCCAGGCGGCCGGCACACCTGTGGGGGCCAGAGACCAGGCGCAGCCGCTCTGTGGGGTGAACAGGGAGGGGACAGGAGGCTGGTAAGGAATGATTCAAATACCCCTCCCTTGGTCTTCACCTGGGGAAACAGGCCTGAGGCAGCGATGGCCTGAGATCTGCCCTCCAGCAGCCGTTAAGGGGAGAGTCCACGACCTCAATGGGCCAGGACACCTCCTGACAGGGCAGGAAGAGGGGACACCAGGCCTGGCTTTTAAATCCCCAGGAGGGACGAGGTAAACACTGGGATCCTTCCAGGGCCTCAGCTAAGGAGAGGGCACCCACAGGTCCTCAGTTTATCTAGGCCCCAGGCCTCACAGCATCCAGGTTTGGGGTCGGGGGAGCCTTCAGGGAGCTTACCTTGGCGGGGGGCTCCAGTTGTCAGCAGAGGGGCCCGGGTGGACTTGGCCTGCTTGGGCCGGGGGCCTTTCTTCCGGGAGGTGTTCTGGGGGTTCCCAGCTGGGCGGGGGGCTGGGAGGAGAGACAGCCAGGAGTCAGGAACTTCACTCCTCATGCTTCCTCCCATGTGGGGGCCGGGCCTCCCTCTCTGAGGGTCTGAAGTGACAGAGGACTCCCTGGGCTATGAAGGAGACAGGAGTGGGGGGAACAATCTGTCCCCTGGGAGTTCTTAGTGCAGCGGTCCCTGTCCCCTCGGCAGATGCAGGAGGGTGCGCTGGGTGGGGGCGGCATGGCAGTCCTCTGGGCTCACCGTGTGTCACCGGGTTCTCCTCTGTGCTGGGACCCAGCTCCACCGACAGCCCTGGCCAGGGAGCCCCATCTAGGGGAGATGCTGAATTGTCCCTGGAGTTAGCCACGCGCTGACCTGTGGGCGGGAGACAGAAGTGATGAGGAGAGTAGGGGTCAGAGGTCATTTGGTCCCTGGCAGAGGGAGTGAGACACCTGGCTCTGGAGGGGATGGGAGGCTGGGTGTCTCTGGACGGCTGCACACTCAGACTTGCTGGGGCTCAGGACTTGGGGTCCCTGGGTCATCTCCAAAGGAGCCGCCCCTGAAGGAGCAGCCAGGGTGCCCTCACCTGCGCAGACGACGCCCGCGTCCTCCTCATGGGAGCAGATGTGGGCCTTCCAGCCCCGGTGGTGGCAGAGGCCCAGCTGCCCCTCATGGCCCCGGCAAGCCAGCTCGCTGAGCCACACGGGCCCTGCCCCCTCCCCGAAGAAGGCGCCCCCGGGGGCGGCCAGTGCCCCTCCGCAGCCCAGCTGCCGGCAGGCCACGGCGGCGTCACGCAGGTCCCAGCCGTCGTCACACACAGTGCCCCAGCGCCCTCCGTGCCAGACCTCCAGGCGGCCAGCGCACCCGTGGGGGCCATCGGCCAGGCGCAGCCGCTCTGAGGGGTGGAGGAATGGCTGTGGCAAGGAGGGGCATCCCTCGGGCCTCGCCTCACGGTCAGGGGGACTGTAGGGGCGGGGCCTGTCCTGCAGGTACTGTCGGTAGCTAGCAGCCCTACTCACTGACCCCCGGGCCAGGACTTCTGGATGCTCAGAGAGATTCACCCAGACACCTGGGGGATCCCAACAGGGGGCAGTGGCAAAGGTCATAGTGGAATTCAGGTGGGGGTGAGGCCAGGCCTAGATGGGCAGAAGGGGGAGGCCTGGCGCTGGGAGGGGGGCAGGTGGGAGAAGTCTGGGGCACTTACCAACAGCCTGGATCCCCACCAGTGCCGCTGCAAGGGAGGGTGGAGAGTGGGGCAGAGTGAGGGGCAGGCCGCGGGTGTTCCTTTCTCCAGCACAGGCCCCTCATCTTGAATACCCCGACACACACAAACACTCTCCTCACATCCTCACACCTCTGAACCAGGAACCCCATGGCTGGGAGGCAGGACTCTGGACAGAGGGCCTGGATGAGACTTGGGTCTCTGAGGCGGGTGGGTGGGGCTGCAGTTGCCTGGCCCCTGAAGTCAGGGCTAAGGACCATGGCTTTGGTGTTCCCACATGGTCTTGGCTAAAGGTCAGATGTCTGGGAGATCCCCTGCAGGGTCAGGGCTGGGGGCTGGGGGCGGGCAGGGGGCAGATCCCTCGGGTTTCTGGGCTGGCAGAAGGCTGCGCTGAGCAGGCAGGGAGCCTCAGAAGGGATGTCAGGGTACCCCAAGCACCAGGGACCAGTCCCGGAAGTTTGAGTCCTTAAACTGGATAAGCTAAGAGGTCAGAGCTGGGGGCCTAGGCCCCCTGAGTCCCCAAGGAGAAGGGATCACTCACCAAGGAGGCAGGCCAAGACCCTCATGTTTGCAGCCAGGGCAGGGGATGGGGTGAAAGGGGAAGGAGAACGGGAGAGGAGAGGAGGAGGCAGCTGGGGAGAGGGGGAGGGAGGGAGCGCCTGCCGGAGGCGCCCAGGCCTGAGGAGGAGCAGGCAGGGCTGGACGCTTTGCCAGGAGGAAGAAAGAGGCTGCAGGGAGGCGGCAGGGGACAGGGCGGGCTGGAGGGGGCTGGCCGGCGGCTGAGGCATTGGGGGAGGGGGGTGGCGGGCGGGAGGGAGGGTGTCCAACTGCAGACACCCACACGGGAGAAAGAGGCAGGCTCCAGCCAGCGAAGCACTGTGCTGAGATGCTTAGGGGGTGGCCGGCTGCAGGAAGGCACAGGGCAGGGATTGTGCGTTGGGGGCCAGTGTGAGCAGGAGGGGGCGCCCACCTGCTGCCTCCTCTCATCTGGTAAGGGAAATACGGTAAGACCACTGCTCGGGTTGGGGCTGGGCAGACCTGGGACTCTTGGTGCAGCAGCAAGATTTGCAGGCAGACACCAGGAGGGACTTCCCGGATGAGGAAGAGACTGAAAAACCTGACCCTCCAGTCCTGCCCCTCACTGGTGGATCTGAATGTGAAGCCCCCCCTGTCCCCAGCTGAGGGAGGAGAGGTTGAACTTCACTGTCCCAGAGGGAGCTGGGGTAGGGAGATAAGCAGCCCAAGGTCAAGGCTTGTGAGGGGGAGGGGCTACACACACACACACACACACACACACACACACACACACCCCACTCCCTGCACACCAGGCAGCTGTGAGGCGGAAAAAATTCGGTAATAGGGAGCGTGACTCAGAAGGGCTGGCAGGGCCCAGGGCTGCCCCTGAGCTCACAGTCTCCCATTCTCCCAGTCCAGCACCGCCCCCCAACAATTAATGTCAACTGGGGAAAGGAGGGGCCAGACTGAAGTGGGCGGGGGTGTCCAGAGACAGTCTGGAAAAAGCATCAGAGATGAGACAGGCACACAGCGGTTTCAGGCTTTATTAACAAATAGTGTAAAAAACCAGACGGGTCTGGAGAGAGGGCCAGAGCTGCCGTTTCAGCTCTCCACCTTTCCAGAGAGGGGCCAAGCCTGGCAGCCCTGTGCACTGCAACCCCTAAGTAGTCAACCTGGTCCCCTCCAAGGGCAGGCGTCTAACCCACTCCGGCTCCAGGGAGGCAGAGTCACAAATCCTAACTCTGGGGCATATTCTGCTCGGCCTCCTCTCCCCCTCCCCAGTTAGCTCTCCCAGGCCTGTGGCACAGACAGCACTGGCTTTGCAGACACGTCGGCCAAGGAGATTTCTCAGTGCAGACGGAGCTGAGGTAGGGGTTGGAGAGGCTGACCTCGAGACCAGAGAGGGAAAGGAGTCATTCTACTCTGAGAGGCTCAAACACTGCAGACTTCACACTGCCGGCTGGTGGGTGAAGGCCAGGCTCCTCCCCTCAGCAGACCTCTGTTTCTGGGCCCTGGGTGGCTGAGGACTCACCAAGGGAGTGGATGTAAAAGTACCTGCACACAGTAGGTGCTCATCATGTGCTGGTGCCCCTCCCTCCTTCCCTGCCCTTCCTGGCGGTCTGTAGCCTCACAGGTCTTTGCTGAACTCCCTCACCAGTGTGTAGCCTAGGCAGCCCCAGCCCCCCTCAGCCTGGTAGCCGCAGCCCTCCAGCATCCCCGCCACCCCCCAGGTGGCCACAGCCACGGGGACCACGAGCCTAGCCCGGGTCTCCCCCATGCCCCCAGCCCAGGCCCGAGCCCGGGCCTCCGCAAAGGCCAGCAGCCTCCTGCCCACTCCCCGGCGGCGGTGCCAGCGAGAGACAGAGAGGCGGGTGACCCGGGCCCCGTCCCCCGCGTTGGTGCCAGGGGCCAGGGCCAGGACCCCACACACATCACCAGAGCCCCGCACTGCCACCCAGGGGCCCCCCAAGCCACCCGGGGGAGGCAGTGAGCCCCATCGGGCCCGCAGGCCCAGCTTCACAGCGGCCACAGCCAGGAACACCGGCAGGAGGAGGGCCAGGGCAAAGGAAGCCAGGACAAAGCGCAGGCCGCTGCTGGCCGCCGCCAGGAGGAGCAGGGCTGGTGGCCGTGTCAGGGCATGGAGGGCCACGCGGTTCTCCGTGTCCTTCACGCCGGCCTGTGGGCAGGAGGGGTGGCTCAGCCATCCAAAACGCTAGGGCCTCCTGGACAGGAAAGGAGGTGGACCCTGCCCAGAGCAGGGTGGGAGCTCCCAAATGGGAGGAGAAGGCAGCGTGGTGCGATGATCAGCAGTGTAGCACACTGGGTATGGAGTGAATGAATGAATGAATGAGTGAATGAATGAATGATGGATGGCTGAGTCAATTAGGACTGTGGAGGCACCCAATTCAGTGGTGGTGCCACAGTGAGGTGCCAGGGAAGTAAGGACAGGGAGCATGGCCCAGGCTGGAGTGGAGGCTGGAGGGACTGCTGGACTAGGCTGGGACGCTGGGCTGTGCTTTGAAGAGCTGGGGTCAAGGCACAGAAATGGCTCTTGTGCTGGTGTGCAGGGCTGACTGGAGGTGGGACACCAGGGAGGGCGTCGGTACTGGGGCCCCACTAGGGCCCGCGGGGGGTGGGGGTGAGCCCCCAGCTGCCACACCTGCTGTGGTTTTCATCAGCACTTCCAGCTGGGAGCCTGCTGAGGCTCAGGAGGAAAAGATCCTGCTCCAGGGGTCCAGGCTGGCTCAGGTGGAGGGAGTGGCTGAACCCACTTGCAATGCCCGGCTGCAGCCACTCCTTGGGGCCCTGCCTCTCACCTTCAGCATCTCCAGCACCAGGGGCTTCTCATCTTCCCTCATCTCCCGCACTGACAGGTGGCTGGGGGCCATGGCAGCCCCCAGGCCCCCGCCCCCCAGAAGAGAGCTGGCGTCGTGCACCTGGTGAGAACACAAGTAGGTCGGCGTCAGGGAGGCGCCTCTGTCCCCAAAGCCCCCCGCGGGGTGGGGAGCAGCACCAGCAGCACTTCCCAGATGAGGACACAGAACCCTCGGGGCCCAGAGCGAGGAGCTCGGCAGGACAGGCGACCCCCACAATACTTAGCGACCTCTTCAGAGTCTCCCGGGATCTCCCCTCCCGCGAATTATTCAGCGATCTACCCCTAAACGCGCTGTGGACGCCAGTACTGCAGGACGGGGCTCCCTCCCAGGCACCCACAGGCCAGAGGACGCACCACGCTGGCTCCGCCCCAGCCCCTAGCGCTACCTCCCCACAGTCGTCCCCGTCCCGCGCCACAAAAACAAGGACCCGCCAGCACCTGCGCGGGTCGCTTTTGGTCCTTTGGCCAGGCTCCGGGAGCGGGTCGGGAAGGGGTCGCTGGCGGAAGTGACGTCACCCGCGGGGGGGGGCCGCGGCGCCTGCTCCCGGCCGTAGCAACCGTTGCTAAGCTCCCTGGAGCGCGGGCGGGGGGAGCCGAGCGGAGGGCCAGGAGGTGACCTCTCCTACCCTAGAGAAGGAGCAGCGGGAAAGGGGACCTGAGGAAAGACGGGAGCGGGCGCCGGCAGGAGACAGGCGGCGGGCGGGCACCAGCGCGGGTCCCCGTCCCACGTGCCCTCGTTGCCTAGCAACCTGAGCGCAGGCGGCGATGCCAGCGGGTGGATTCTCCGTGGTGCCCCGGCCTTCGCGGGAGGAGCCGGCCGCGCTCAGCATCCTCTAGCCCAGCGGCGCCCGACCCCCCCCCATCCCACCCACGGGGCGCCAAGGCTCGCAGGGCCCTCCCGCCTAAGGATCCCCGTTTTCCAAATGAGGGGGTAGCGGGGCTACTCACAGTCAACAAATGACACTAGCTGGACTCTGATGCCACCACCTCCCCGCTGTAGTGACCCCTGCGTCCTTTTTTGTTTCAGGACGGGGAAACTGAGCTTCACATAGTGGCTGGCCACAGGACGCAGAAGACTCCACGCTCCCAGGCAGGGGCTATGACCATGACTTTGCCCCCTTCCCTCCCCCCCAGGAAAACAAAACACAGGCGGGGAGACTTGGGTCTTTATTAGCAAGCCCAGCCTGCAACACACAGCCGCGCCCCGCCCCGGCCCAGACCTGCAGTGAGTCGGGGTCTCTGTGTAGGGCGGGAGAACCACTGGCTCTCCTCAAAACGTGTGCACTAGCTGGACTGCGGGTAGGGTCTGCACAATCTGGATGGAGGGCAGGCCCTGCGGGGTCATGACACCAGTCCCAGCTCCCGCGGGGACCACTTGTACCATCTGGGAGGCTGGAGCCGCGGGGAGCGCCGCGGGAGCCGAGGCTGGGCCGGACGGCTGTGGGGCCAGGAGCTGCAGCGTGGCGGCGCCTCCTGCGGCGCTGCTGCTGTCCAGTAGCTCAGTGGCCGGGGCGCTACGGATGATGAGGAGTTTCTGTCCCGGTGAGCCGGTGGCCGGCGGCTCGGTCAGCCCAGGGGCAAGGGTTTCTACCTCCTGTACGCAGAGCCTGGTTTGCTCGCCATCCGCCCCGCTCAGCACCAGCACGCTCTGCAAGCCCTCGTCCGTCTGCAGTGTCTCAAAGAGGACATCCTGGACCACACCGGTGCTGGCCTCAGCATCCCCCGCCTCCCCGGAGCCCGGGCCTGTGAGCAACTCCTCAGCTGCCCCACTCTGAACCACCAGCAGGTTGGGCGCCTCAGCTCCTCCACTGGAATTGGAGAGCTGGCTGGCCACCGGCTGGAGCTGGACCGTGGTCACTTCCTGTGCCGGCTGGAGCTGGACTGTGGTCACTTCCTGTGCCGGCTGGAGCTGGACCGTGGTCACTTCCTGTGCCGGCTGGAGCTGGACCGTGGTCACTTCTGAGGCTGGCCGGAGGGGCTGGAGTTGCACCCCACTCATTTCCTGTGGCCCTGCCTCCCCGCCCCCTACATTCTGCAAAACGATGAGGCTCTGCCCTCCCCCGCTGGCCCCAGCGCTGGCCGCTCCCTGCACCCCCAGACCCCCAGGGCCCGGCAGCCAGACAACTCCCGCTCCCTGACCTGCCTTCCCCACTGCCAGTGGCCCCTGCCTTGCACGGCCGCCCCCCGCCCCAGCACTGGAGGAGGGCAGCAGGATGAGCTTGGGCGGTGTGGGAGGGGGCGGAGGAGCAGGGGGCTGCACGCTGCTGGGGATCAGCTGGAGGCCCTGGGCAGTCTGTACCAGGAGAAACGTCTGAGAGTTGGGCGCCGTTGGGCCCAAGGTCGGGGCCTGGGCCGTGCCCCCCGCCACCTCGAGGGAGAGCGTGGCCTGGAGGTGGGGCAGGACGTGGACATCTTGGGTGGCTGGCGGGGCCGCGGCGGCGGCGGCCAGCGGGGCAGGGGGCTGGGGACCGGCGGCGGGGGCTGTGGTGCTGGGAGCCGTGTTGGCCGGGGCGTGCGTCCTCAGGTGCCGCTGCAGATAGGCGGCCATAACGAAGCCACGACCGCAGATGGGGCAGGTGAAGGGGCGCTCGGCAGAGTGCGTGCGCCGGTGCAGGAGCAGGTTGGAGGAGTGGGTGAAGGTCTTAGGGCAGAGCGGGCAGCGGAAGGGCCGCTCGCCCGTGTGCACACGCTGGTGCTGCCGCAGGTTGGAGGTCTGTGCGAAGCTCTTGCCACAGACGCTACAGGCGTGGGGCCTCTCGCCGGTGTGTACGTGGCGGTGGCGCCGCAGGCACGATGTGTTGCGGAAGGCCTTGCCGCATTCCCCGCAGGCGTAGGGCCGCTCGCCTGAGTGCAGCCGCAGGTGGTACTGGTAGTGGGACGACCATTTGAAGGTGAGGCCGCACTGGCCACAGGTGAAGGCCCGCAGGCCGGTGTGCACGCGCTGGTGGATGGCCAGCAGGGAAGAGCGTTTGAAGGCCTTGCCGCACTCGCCGCACTGGTAGGGCCGTTCGCCGGTGTGGTCCCGCAGGTGGTAGCGCAGCCCCGACGAGCCCTTGAAGGCCTTGCCGCACTCGGCACACTTGTAGGGCCGCTCTGCAGAAGCCGGGGCGGCCGTGGGTGGCAGCGGGGCTGGGGCGGCGGGCGCCAGCGGTTCCTGGGGGCAGGTGACCTCAGCAGCCTCAGCCTGCGGGGGCGGCCGCCCGGCCGCCGCCTCTTCCACATGGCACTGCTGATGCGCCAGGAGGCTGGCCAGCTGCGGAAATGAGCCATCGCAGCTACCGCAGCGGAACGCCTGCCCGCCAGCAGCCCCGTGGGTGTGCTGGTGGCGGGAGAGCCCGGCCACCGTCCGGAAGGACTTGCCGCAGGGCAGACAGGCAAAACCAGGGGCGGCGGCGGCTGGAGGGCGCTGTGGCAGAGGGGACGGTGGCGGGTCGGCGTTGGGCGCCTCGACTGGTGCGTCCTGGGGCTGGGGCACCGCCTCGGGCCCGGGACACGGCTGATGCTCCACGAGCAGCTCCTCGCTGCTGAATCCCTGCTCGCAGCCATCGCAGCGGTACACCAGCTCCACCGTGGTCTCCGCCGCCGCCAAAAAGAGCTCGGGCACCACAGGTGGAGGCGGCGGCGGGGGCGGCGGGGCGGGAGGCGCGGGTGGGCTGTGGGGCTGGAGGTGCCGCTGCAGGTAGGCGTCGCACACGAAGACCTTGCTGCCACTGGGCTCCTGGGGCTGGGGGTGCGGGGCCGCGGGGGCGGTGCCCGGGGTGGGGGCGGGGCCCGGGGCGGGAGTGGGGGCGGCGCCGTGGGTGCGCTGGTGCAGCAGCAGGTTGGAGGAGTGGGTGAAGGTCTTGGGGCACAGCTGGCAGCGGAAGGGCCGCTCGCCCGTGTGCACGCGCTGGTGCTGCCGCAGGTTGGTGCTCTGCGTGAAGCTCTTGCCGCAGACGCCGCAGGTGTAGGGCCGCTCGCCGGTGTGCACGTGGCGGTGGCGCCGCAGGCTGGATGAGTTCTTGAAGGCCTTGGGGCAGTCTGGGCACGGGTACGGCCGCTCGCCTGTATGCTGTCTGAGGTGGTACTGGTAGTGGGACGACCACTTGAAGGCCAGGCCGCACTGGCCGCAGATGAAGGCCCGCAGGCCGGTGTGCACACTGCGGTGGATCTGCAGCAGGGAGGAGCGCTTGAAGGCCTTGGGGCAGTCGGGGCACTGGTAGGGCCGCTCGCCTGTGTGGCCTCGCTGGTGGTAGAGCAGAGCCGAGGAGCCCTTGAAGGCCTTGGGGCAGTCTGGGCACTTGTAGGGCCGCTCGCCTGTGTGCGTGCGCTGATGATGCAGGAGCCGGGACGACCACCGGAATGACTTGCCACACTCCCCGCACTCATACTGGGCCGCTGGGGCCGCAGGGCCTGGCTTCTCCCCGGTCCCCTCTGCAGTAGAGGCCGGCGCCATGTCCTCGTGTGAGCCGACCATCACACCTGGGGGAGGGATTCCGCGTCAGGGACTTGCCCAGCACTGGTTCATCTCAACCCCAAACATACACACTGGCTCTTTAAGGGACAGGGACTACCTCTCCAGGTCACCCACTTTGCAAGGGACTTTCCGTAGGATCAGGGTCTCCAATGGTCCAAGTTTGCTTGGGACTTGAGCAGGTGCCAGTGATACTGGACTTTCAGAGCTGAAATGGAAACTCCTCAGCAAACTGGGGCAAGGTGATCACCCTCCTTGGGAGGCTGGCCAGGTCTGAGAAGGCTGGGCCCCAGCTTCAAGAGAGCAAGTGCTGCCTTTAGGACTCTGCTCGCTCCCTCTAAACACAGAAAGGGTCCCTGAAGAAGACACACAGAGAGAGGCTCTCCTAGCTTCACTCCTTGCTGTTCTCCCTCTAGACCTCATCCCCGACCTGGGCTTCAACATTCCTCCCACTGCCATACCCTAAACCTCTTCATGCTAACTAAAGCCTCCTCGTGGCACCAGGCATGGGGGCTCACGCCTGAAATCCCAGCACTTTAAGAGGCCAAGGCAGGTGGATCACCTGAGGTAAGGAGTTTGAGACCAGCCTGTCCAACATGGTGAAACCCCATCTCTACTAAAACTACAAAAATTAGCTGAGCGAGGTGGTAGGCACCTGTAATCCCAGCTACTCTGGAGGCTGAGGCAGGAGAATCGCTTGAACATGGGAGGTGGAAGTTGTAGTGAGCTGAGATCGAGCCACTGCACTCCAGCCTGGGTGATAGAGCAAGGCTCTGTCTCAAAAAAGAAAAAAAAGTGTCCTCATGGTCTGAGCCTGGAATAACCTACTTCCCACCACCACAAAGCCTTCTAGGTCACTCCCGCTTGGTGCTTCAATTCCCCAAATCCTTAGACTCCAGCCCATCTACCATCCATGCCGCCCTGCGTCCTCCTCACCATCACCCTCACTGGCTCACACTACACTTCTCTGATCCGTGCACTCTCCAGGTGACTACTTGCCATGGAGCTTTCTCCTGAAACCTCCAGCCCCTCCTCTCCCCTCCTGTTTTTGGCAGGCAATCCTAACCTTGATCATGCCTCTGTGAAAATAAAAGCAATCAGAAGCGAAGGTTCTCACATTCTGACCACCATACCAGTGGTTCTCAACTGGGACAAATTGTGCCTCCTACCCAGGGGACATCTGGCACTGCCTGGAGGCATTTGGGTTGTCTGTTAACCAGAGAGGTAAGTGCTCCTGGCATCTAGTGGGTGGCAGCCAGAGATGCTGCTCAACACCCTACAATTCATGGGACGACACTATAGCCAAGAACGATCCCATCCACGAGGTCAGCAGTGTGAGGTCCAGAAAGCCTGTGCTATCCTTCCCCACATGCCTGACCTGGTGCTCGTGGACCCTGCCTTCCCACCCACATCCTCCACTTTTCCTCCTCTCCTGGATGGTTCCCATCAACAGAACCAACAATCTGGGTCTCCCATCTTTAAAAACCACTTACCCATCCATCTGCGAACTCATTTCTCCATCCCTTCACAGCAGAGCAGCTTGTGTCAACTCACTCCTTCCCAGCTCAAACCCCTTCAGTCCCACACTGGTTCCCCCACTCCACCGTGGCTTTGGTGGCGCATGGCCCAAAATGGCTCACTTGTCACTGGGTCCATGGCCTGCCTCCCCCTGGCCTCCAGGATACCTCACTCCCTAGCTGTCCTCCCTCACCTGACACCCCATCCTAGCCCCAGCCTGGTTCCTTCTCACCTCCCTGACCTCTACATGTGGAAGCATCCAGGGCTTCGGCCCCCCTTGGTCCTCTTCTGTCTGTCCTCTCTCCCTGGGAGCCCCTACCCACTCTCAGGACTCCACCGTCTGTGAACAATGACTCCAGGCCCCGAGCTCTATGAGACCTATCCTCTGAATGCCACGCCACCTGCTAGACTGTGCCATTTGACACCTTGCAGACCCTCAAACTTAACGTACCCCAAATCAAACTATGGTTTTTTTGCTCCTTTTTTGCCCCCAACTTCTACTCCACCCATAGCTTCTTCATTTCTGAACAAGGCAACTGTCCTCCTCAGGCCAAATGCTCCTCACCTCCTCTCTATCATCTGTCAGCAGATTCTCCTTCCAGCCAGAACTATCCAGGATCTGGCCACTTCTCCAACCCTCCACCTTGATCTGTGGCACCACCGTCTCTCTCCCAGGTAGCTGCAACAGCCTCCCCATGGATCTCCGTGTTTCCACCGGTGCCCTGCCCACCCATCTGTTCCCAACACACAAGCTGAAGCGAACCCATCAGCAGGGAGGGCAGGGCGTTACATTCCTGTGCTCAGACACCACCATAGCTCCGGTCTTGAAGCCTGCCCACTTCCCGCAGCCTTCAGCCTGTCCCCTCCCTGACTTGTCCTCCTGCTGTTCTCACTGGCCACCTGCCCCTGGTCACTCTGGTCACCCAGGCTGGCCAGACAGGCCTGCTCCCACCTCAGGGCACCTGCCTAGAACCGCCCCTCCCTTTCCACCTGCACTGCTCTCTTTTTCACCTCCAAGTCTTCGCTGAAATCCCCTCTGCAAGAGCTTCCTTGACACCCCTATTTAAATCTCCAATCCCTTCCAACTCCCTGTTCCCTTTTCCTGCCATCTTTTTTTCCCCACAGCGTTGATCACCTTCTAATGGACTATACAACCAGTGATGCTCAGCCTCAGCAGTGCTGAGATTTGGGGCCAGGCCATTCTTTGTTGAGGGCGGTCCTGTGCACTGTAGGGTGTTTGGCAGCATCCCTGGCCTCAACCCACTGGATGCCAGACTGACACTGGCCTATGAAGCCCTCCTCTACACTGTTCACAAAGCTCACTCCTGCACCTCCAGGTCTTTGCCACGATGTCACCCCAGGGGAGCGCCAAGAACCGCTACTATATAAGCAGTGTGCTTTCTGTCTCACTTTGTCTCCTCATGCTAGGATGTCAGCACCGTGATAACAGGGGTTTCTATCTGTTCCAATGTGGTATCCTATCCCAGCGCCTTCAATAATGTCTGCAGAGTGTGTGCTCAATAAACACGTTTTGAATGAATGAAGGCTGGGCATCCCCTTTGGACAAGCTATAAGAACTTGTCTTTTTCTTCTTTTTTTTTCTGGAGACAGGGTCTCACTCTGTCATCAAGGCTGGAGGCAGTGGCGTGATCTCCGCTTACTGCAACCTTCATCTCCCAGGTTCAAGAGATTATCCTGCCTCAACCTCCTGAGTGGCTGGGATTACAGGTGCACGCCACCACCCCCGGCAAATTTTTGTATTTTTAGTAGAGATGGGGTTTCACCATGTTGCCCGGGCTGGTCTTGAACTACTGGCCTCAAGTGATCCTCCCGCCTCGGCCTCCAAAAGTGCTGGGGTTACAGGGGTGAGCCACCACGCCCGGCCAAGAACTTCCTTTTTAAAAGATGAGTGTACCCTGTAATATGTAAGCAAGTCCTTTTAAGAGCCTAGTGATCCTACGAAGCTGCACGTGCCTTTAAGAAGGCCGAGCATCGCCTTAAACAAGACATCGGTGCTCTGTAAGAGCGGGATCCCATTTAGCAAGAAGAGGGCAACCGCTTTAAAACACCGCGCCACACCCTTAACGCAGACTGGACTTCCCCTTTAAGAGGATGCTGCCACCGCAGACCCATCTCAACCTACGTCGAGCTAAACTAGGGATCGCTTTGAAGCAACCAGGTCTCAGGAGTTTTTTCTTCATTGTCTGGGAAACTGTCACTGGCCTTTAATGAGATAACCAATTTTTAGGAGGAAAGAGTTTTTTTTAACTCAGAAAGCTTTTGCAAAAATGCAAAGCCTGACCCACCCTCTCAATGCAACCCCTTGCCCTTTAAGAGGGCGGAGCCAGCCCAGGAGGCAACAGTCGGCGGTGAAATAGCGACCTCCCCTTTAAGGTGCCCCTTCCGGTTTCACGCTCCCACCCGCCCAACGTCTCCGCCCTCTGGTCCCTCCCCCCACCCCCACCCCTCCGGTCTCTCACCTGCAGTCCCAATCGGGGGAACGAGGGTGGGAGCCCCAGGACCTTCCCGCGGGGGCCGACGGGAAGGTGGGGCCCCGGCAGCGGCGGTGCAGCTGTGGGGGCCGGGGAGGGGGGGCGGGGGCGTACTCCCTCCCAACGGCCCCCGGCGCGAGGCACCCAACCTTTATCGGCGGCCTCTCGCGCACACAAACCCCGACGTCGCCTCGGCGCGTCATGACGCAAGTGCGCCGAGTTCCCGCCCCCAGACCCTCCCATTGGCTGCCTCAGGCGTCGCAGGGCTCCCGCGCAGGCAGCGTGCGGCATCCTGGGACTTGTAGTTCTCCCGGTTGTGGTCCCGGACTCCAGCTGTCAGGTCCTTGGGGCCGAAGCCCGGGTAAGCCCAAGACCGGGTACGGCCATTTCGAGACGCGGAGCCGCACGTTCCCCTTTATTAGTCCCGATTCCCGCTCATCTGCAGAAAAATCTTTCCATGCAGCATGGTTGTACAAAAACCCCTCCCATGAAGCCGTCGCGCCCCCAGGGTGTAATCGCTCCTGCGGGAAACCGAGGCCTGGAGCGCTTCCCGCCCCTCAGCAGAGCCGCGTGCTCAGGGCTTCGTGCACGCTCGTGTGCTTCGTGCACGCTCGTGCAGACCCTGCAGAAACCTGGTTCCTGCTGGGCAAAGATCTGTTCAGGGCGCCTGGAATCCAGAAACTCCTTATGGGGCCTAGGGTTTTAGTGGGAGACGGAGCTGCTCCAGAGCCCCTTTCCATGCTCAACCCCCGACCAACCCAGCATTTCACCCACATTGGCATTTCTGAGGGTCATTCACTTCACGGACTTTCTCAACCAGGGCACTAGTGCCATTTGGGATGGATTCATTGCCGTGGGGACTGTCCTGTGCACTGTAGGGTGGTGAGCAGCATCCCTGCCCCCTAACCACTAGATACAGATAGCATCCCCAAGCCCCGCTCCACACAGCCCTTAGGAAAGTTCAGAATATCTCCAGGTGGCAAGGCATGGTGGCTGACGCTCACGCCTGTAATCCCAACACTTTGGGAGGCCGAGGTGGGCGGAACCCTTGAGGTCCAGAATTCGAGACCAGCCTGGCCAACATGGTGAAAGCCCGTCTCTACTAAAAATACAAAAATTAGCCGGGTGTGGTGGCGAGTGCCTGTAATCCCAGCTACTCGGGAGGCTGAGGCAGGAGAATCACACAAGTCCAGGACGTGGAGGTTGCAGTGAGCCAAGATCACGCCACTGCACTCCAGCCTTGGCAACAGAGCAATACTCTGTCAAAAAAACAAACAAAAAAGAATATCTGCAGACATTACCAAATTGTTCCACTAGTCTAGAGCCACTGCTCAGAGACAGTTCCCTTGGGCTGAAGGCCATTCTGCATGCTGTTTCTCAAGCCAGAAGGCCCTTCTGCCCTTAACCCCTCCCTGCCCAGCAAGATCCCGCTGGAAAGCATCCTGTGCTAGGTGGAGTCCCTCTTACATGCTTTGCGACATCTATGTCCCATGACACCTGGGACCTTTTGTGTATTTGCTGCCCTATTCCAAACAAGCCTGGGCCCTGATCGAGAAGCAGACGTTACTTGTTTGTTGAATGAGTGGATTTTTCCAGCCTTCCACACAGTTTCCCCAAGTCTACAAGCAGGCTGGAACTCAGGGCTGATATGCACTGAAATGGACCCACCCCTGTCTTACAGGGTCTTGGCGGTGATGACTCTGTGCATTTGTGCATGTAAAACCCTTGGCATCCAGCTCAGCCGAAACATTCCTTTCATGTCTGCATTAACCACACAAAGTGGGTGCCATGCCAGTGGGGACATGGATGTGCAATGCACTGCCCAGCTGGCTGCCAAGAGGGGCACAGAGTCCACTGCCATCCCCCTTGCCTCAGGCCAGTTGGGTCTCTCTGATAGTGAAATGGGCCCTCAGCTCAGCCCCCCTCATTTACCTGCCCACCTAGAGGCATTATAAAAGGGATTGGACAGCTACCCTGGGCAACATAGCAAGGCCTCATCTCTACAAAAAAAATTTTTTTTTTTTATTTTTTGTTTGTTTGAGACGGAGTTTCGCTCATTACCCAGGCTGGAGTGCAATGGCGCGATCTCAGCTCACCGCAACCTCCGCCTCCTGAGTTCAGGCAATTCTCCTGCCTCAGCCTCCTGAGTAGCTGGGATTACAGGCACGCGCCACCATGCCCAGCTAATGTTTTGTATTTTTAGTAGAGACGGGGTTTCACCATGTTGACCAGGATGGTCTCGATCTCTTGACCTTGTGATCCACCCGCCTCGGCCTCCCAAAGTGCTGGGATTACAGGCGTGAGCCACCGCGCCCGGCCAATCTCTACAAAAAATTAGCTTCATGTGGTGGTGCATGCCTGTAGTCCCAGCTACTCAGTCAGCTGAGGTGAGAGAATCACTTGAGCCTGGGAGGTTGAGGCTGCAGTGAACTGAGATTGTACCGCTGAACTCCAATCTAGGTCAATAGCCTCTCAAAAAAGAGAGAGAGGCATGGCTAAGACCGGCTCTTCCTCTCCTTAGCTTTCCCCACTTTGCAGCGGAAGTCAAACAAAGGTTTTGAAGTCAATGGCCTTGGGCAACCTGCTGTCCCTAAAAAGGTGATGTGGATTCAACAGGTTTGTTTTTAGAACAGCCTAGCCCTGCCTTGGAGCCAGTAATGGGAGGAGACTGAGGCCAGCCCTGTGAGATAATGAATGTATGTTGTTTAATCCCAATGCATTAGTGGCTATTTCTTACATAGCGTAGATAACGAATACACTCATAATATCATAAGAGTCTGCTAGTGTAAGGTCTTTTAGGCTTACCGTAACCATGGACTGCGCCATGGTAACCTCTGTGACCTGCACGCACGCTCCGGATGAGTTCCTGGAACTAGAAAGTCTGAAGTAAGTGGAAGACCACAAAAAGAAGAACGATCAACCCCTGTGGCACCTAATTAATTTTGAGTCATTCTTCCATTGTTCCTTATTCCTACCTCAACTGATAAGGCAACTGGACTTTGTAACCAACCTTGGTCAACCTCCTGACTCTAGACCCTACAAGCCCCTCCCAACTTGCAAAAGCCGCCCTTAACTGTAACTTCTGTAACTTTCCACTGCCTACCCGAAACCTATGAAACCAATTCCTATCCCACCGCCCTCCTCCGCTGACTCTCTTTTCAAACTCAGTCCGCCCACACCCAGGTGAATAAACAGCATGTTGCTCACACAAAGCCTGTTTGGGGGGGTTTCTTCATTCAGAGCACGTGTTTAACAGCTAGGACCCCCAAAACAATGTTCCACAGACTGAGTGGCCCCAACAGCAGAAACGTATTTTCTCCTGGTTCTGGATATGGAAGTCCGTGGTCAAGGTGTCAGCAGGGTGGCCTTCCCCTGAGGCCTGTCTCCTGGCTTGCCGACAGTTGTCCTCCTTGTGTGGCCTCCATGATGCTCCCTCTGTGCATGTCTGTGTCCTAATCTTTTCTATAAGGACACCAGTCAGATTGCATTAGGGCCCACCCTAGTGACTTTAACTTAATTGCCTCTTTAAACACTTTCTCCTAATATCCTCCACTCCAGAGCTTGGGGGTTACAACTTCAGCATCTGAATCTGGGGGGACACATTCAGCCATGGCCTACCTTCTCTCAGAAGAAGAGTTGTGAACCAAACGCGACAAGGTTAGCCCCTCTGCATCTGAGTTGGGGACACAAGGGTGATACATTGTGACTCTGCCATCTGCATATTTTTATTATAAATTTTAAGGGGGCTGGGTGCAGTGGCTCACGCCTATAATCTCAGCACTTTGGGAGGCCAAGGCGGGCAGATCACTTGAGGTCAGGAGTTCGAGACCAGCCTGGCCAACATGGTGAAACCCAATTTCTTTTTTTTTTTTAAATAGAGACGGGGTTTCACCACGTTGGCCAGGATGGTCTTGATCTCTTGACCTCATGATCCGCCCGCCTCAGCCTCCCAAAATGCTAGGATTACAGGTGTGAGCCACCGCACCCGGCATTTTTTTTTTTTTTTTTTTTTTTAATGAAACAGGTCTAATTGTAGAAACCCAGTTTCTACCAAAAATATAAAAATTAGCCGGGCATGGTGGTGCATGCCTGTAATTCCAGCTACTTGGGAGGCTGAGGCAGGAGAATCTCTTGAACCCGGAAGGCAGAAGTTGCAGTGAGCCGAGATCATACCACTGCACTCAAGACTGTCTCGGAAAAAAAAAGGGAAACAAGGCCCCACAATGACTGGGCAAGAGGGAGCAGATGAGCAGATGGGGACAGGGAGGGACAAACCCTGGGTTGTTCCTGGATTGCTGGACTGGCTGTGATACCCCAATCCAGAGGTAGGGGGATTAAGGGGTGGGGCCCCCACATTCCAGCTGTAGCAAGGCCTGCAAAGGAGGTTGGGGCAGGATCTTGAGGTCCGAGCACCGCACCTGCCCCAAACCTTCTGTGACTCTCCATCATGCTTACCTTCACTGCCCAACCCCTGCCCGACTCTCAAGGCCCTGCGGGTCTGGCCCCCCTCCGCGTCTCTGACTTCACCTCCTCCAGCACGCAGTGAAGCAAGGTGCTCAATAAATGTTTGTTGAATTATTAAATCCACCCCCAACACACACAACATTTCAAGGGCTGGGATGGGGAGACTAGGCTGGATTCCTTAGTACCTTCCAGCACCTGGAAGTGTAGGTCCTCAACAGACGTCCATGAAGCCAGCTCTCAGCTGTGGTTGATTCTTCTCAGTGACAGGAGAGGGCCCCACATTCTGGGGCCGCACCCCTTGAGTCAGGCTGCCCAGCACAGGCTGTGGGGGCGCCCCTGATGGACAGTCCCGAGGCCGCAGCCTGCAGGCAGCCGCCCTGAGCGGGACAGAGCTGGCCAGCTGGTGTTGCTCTTGGCCCCTGGGCTGTGGAATGCAGATTTTGAAATAAGAGCTACCAGATGACAGTGCACATGATAAAGTGTGTATTGAGGTAGCAGAGGCCACACCCCAGCCACGTGGTGCGGCCCCTTACTGGCCCTCAGGGTCAATCCTTCCCTCCCATCCTCCAGAGACCCAGGGGTCCACTCCCCTCAGCCTCTAACCAATGGACCCTGGACCCTTCCCTCTGTGCCTGAGACCTGGAGTAGAACAGGACAGGAAACCTTCAGGCTCACCCCCACAGGCGTGAACCAGACTCACGGCCATCTTGAAGCAGGAGAATAGCAGAGAAGTCGGGGGCGGAGAGGACCCTTGGATGTAGGTTAGCTTCAGCATAGCAGAAGCAAAGCGTGTCAGAGGCAGAAGCAGGACATGCGAAATAAGGAAGGCAGCAGTGAGCTGGAACATGCAGGATAAGGAAGGTCAGAAGGACTTGTAGGAGCAGTTTGGTCATGAAAAATAGAAGAAAAGATGAGCAATTTGCTCAAAAGAGATAAAGTAAGATTAGGCAAGGATGAGCATTTAACTTACAGGAGATAAAGTGAGGTTAAGAAAGTGATGAAAAACACATAAAAGGCCATGAAATGTATGGCCAGGCACACTGGCTCACGCCTGTAATCCCAGCCTTTGGGAGGCCAAGGCGGGCAGATCACCGGAGGCCAGGAGTTCCAGACCAGACTGGCCAATATGGTGAACCCCGTCTCTACTAAAAATACAAAAATTAGCCAGGCATGGTGGCCTGTGCCTGTAATCCTAGCTACTCAGGAGGCTGAGGCAGCAGAATCTCTTGAACCAGAAGGCGGAGGTTGCAGTGAATGGAGATTGCACTGCACTCCAGCCTGGGTGACAGAGCCAGACTCCATCAAAAAAAAAAAAAAAAGTCCTTTTTAAAAACAAAAAGGCTATGAAATGTAATAAACTGGGGCTCATCTCATCTCGGAGAGGTCAGTCCGCTCTCCCCGTTTGGGACACCGGGAGCCTGGAACTGCACAGTACCATCCAGTAACAATCTCACACACACACACACATATGCACTCATACACATGCATACATATGCACACACATGCACTCACACACATACACACATGCATTCACACACATGCAT